ATCACCTTTTCACACCTTATCCATCCATCCAGTTATTTACTAATCTTCTTACTTATCGAATTATTCATCCATTCATTCGGTGCAAACGAACCCAGTGATAGAATATCAAACAGTAGCTATGAGTAGGTTTTCGTTTCTAGGGCTTGTGAAACATTCCAGTGGGTGCACAAAATTTCTGCCTTTCCTCAGCTTTGACTGTTCGGCCGGTTGACGCAGGCGATATGAGGTGTAGTTACGGAAAGGCGAATGCCAAGTTCGGCATCTCTCCACCTCGTTCTTCTAATCTCTCCATCGATGACGACGAACATTGTGGTTGTAGTACCGATATACAGGCAAATGGGTGGACAGGGGAATAGGTAGATAGATGAGTGAATGGATGATGATTCCTAAAACACCTGACTGCTTTTACCTTAAACTTTACAAAAGTGGGAAGGCACTTCCGAACGCGAGTCAAATGCAACAAAGCTTGAGATTTCGCCTGGGCACGTATTCGGCTCTTTTATACTATCTATGGTCACATATTCGCTCTCCCAGCATGTGTTACTGTCAATCTCTAGATTTGCTATGATCTTAATTCAATTTCTTCTGTATATTTTAACGCAACCATTGTTAACGTTAGCTGGCCTGATATCTGATATAGACGAAATGTATTTAGTCGATAATCATTGTGGAACGCTTTGGCTGGATACGATGGAACATCTTATTCGAATAAGTAAACTGAATTTAGAACGGTAGGAAATAAACATCCACCATAGTTATAGCCTGCGATTCGAGTGATTGGTCAAGGACAAGAAACTTAACTGCCAAATACCTGCGATCGAACAGTAAAATAAAGGGATGTGACTTACGCACCTAACAAGATTTTGACAGAGAGACAAGGAATTCATTTGGGTGTCGATCATACTAAACCGTGGTGTTCTTCCCTGATGGTTGATTAAGTACACTTTGTCTACATGGGACATCAGCCAAACTTGTCTACCTTACCGTCCATTCGCCACCATCGGTTGCGTACGCGTGCCGGAGGTGTGGGATGAGCTGATCCGAGGTGAGGTGGAGTGAGGATATCAGAGATCATGGCGGTATAAGCTGATGGCTTAAAATGAGCATTTCAAGAGTTATTTAAATTCACCTTGGGATAAAAAGGCCTTTTTTATGACGCGGGGTAGTGGCGTATGAAACCAATTTGCTTGTCTAGATGTTAAATGGATAGTCTGAATTGCCGAAAGTTCGAGTGAACGCATCTACTTCCACTGTTTTACTTCTAAAACTTCTAACTAATAAAAGAGCCTTGCCAGCAACAGTCTATGTATTCAACAAAGCAGAACTTGATATCCACTGATGGGGAACTATATTCCTTCAATTTTCCTACAACCGCAAATTTTATGGATCCATTCTTGGTTTAGATTCCTCAAAAATCTCTTCTTAAGAAGCTTCACTACTGGAGCGAATCCCAGACAACTATACTTTGCGCATTTCTCTCCACCAGTGTTAGTAAATGAAAGAATTGCTTTCTCTTTGCATTCTAACCTTTGCCATTTATCACTTTACTCCCGTCATCTTGCTTTCTGTTAAGAGAACACTTTGGTACCTTTCTCCACAGCTGCCCAAATGCAAGAAATCCATTTTCCACACGTTTGTACTCAATTGCGTTGTTATTTTACCCCTACTTGTGGTACATGAGTTTGCCATAGCCACTGTAAAAGCGAAGGCGGAAATGCGTCGTTATTTTAGTAGCAGTCGAGTTTGCCAGATTTATGCAGCACCAGGTAATTAACTGAATAAATTAAATCCTTCTGCGCTACTAAAGGGACCGACTGATGCAGTTCTCAATATTTTTTCGTCAATCTTTAAAGTAGAAGGCACTTTGTTATCCTATTTAGTGAAATGTACAGGACAGTACACTACCAACACAGGATACGTACTACGATGTGTTTCTGCAGCTCCGAATTTGCAATCGGATTGCAGGAATGCGCACTGCTGATCCTCTACTGCAAGCACCCGCTCTTTTACAATCTCTGTTAAGAGGCGATTTCACAGGTGTCACGCCTCTTTCTGTCTTCAGCTATTAGCATCCTAAGTTACACATTGTTTGTGTTTCAATCTTGAATACCTTTATCAAATTGCAGACCCAGACTGGGCTAACCTGGTTGGTAACAAAGAAAAGGTGCTTAAAACCGACAACCATTGATTGCTGACTGCAGATGAAATTGAAGATGATAAATTTCACACATAGAGATCAAAATGGCTCAGTCGTGTGCCAGAAAGGGAGGTGACTCGGAGCGTGGCACCGACTACTGTTGCATTGTGCTTTTCTAGAAGAAGGAGGTGAAGAAAATGGCTGTGTGACACGCTGATGTGGACCACTCACCGACCATTTACCAGCTGTCCTCACGAATTCTTAGCGCCAGGGCACAGCCCATATCCTCGCCTCATCAACAACAACTACAGTAACGCAATTATCATCATCATCAACCTCATCTTTCCTTTATTTGAGATGAGGGTGTTTTATGCCCATGCTTTGATTTGAAAAAAAAGGCTTTCATGTAATTTCCCCTGATTTTTCAGTCTTTCTGTAGGTCCCTTCATCCTAACAAGCTTAACTCAGTTTTTAGTAGGAAAAATCCATTCTTAATTCATTCAAGCATGATAATTACATATTTTTGTCACCTATGTTTTACTTTTGCTTGGTTTGCTTTTGCTTTTAGTAATCACGAAAACAATCGACTTCTAGCCACATGTGCTACTCACCCTTATTTTTATACCCCTCTGTCCATTTTGCTCGCGATCACGTTATTGCCAAAGAAGGTGGTAATCACTTAGAGTATCGAGAGACTACGGAGGATGGTAACGGAAGTGAAGATGAGGCTGTTTCCTACCCTTTTCTGCCTACTTCTTCCATCTCCACAGGCGCATTTCCCCGCTGTATGAGAAATGAGGCGGGAAGTGTTGCATTGCGTAGACTCACTACAAGGAGTGTAAGAATAGGGCATTCCCTTGAGGGACTCACTAGCCACTTGGTGTTATTTACTGGTTTGACTGTTTCTCAAGAAGGAATTATTCTTGGTCACCTTCCATTTGTAGTGAGATGGATTGAGTTGAGTCGAGTTGATAAATAGGGAGGGAGAAAGAAGCGTATAGATGGTATATGGAGTGATCTTGAATGTGGGCGTTTGATCTTTATCAGGTTGGACATTGTCTTGCACATAGGCAAGTACATAAAAAGGACGCGTGATACGGTAGAAGTGAAACGGTGGCCGCCTTGGTAGTAAGGTGGTATTGAATAGTCAGCAGAATAATGACATTTTGAGTAGCCTAACGAATATTAAAATAAAATCTATACGTCATTTCTCAACATAGCTCCTTAGTCGGTCAATTAACAATGCAAAACTTCGCCTTTTACTTTTATTGCGAATCACTCCATCAGTAGGCACACATTAATCTGCATGATCAAGAGGAGAGCAGACTCCCTCTTGAGTGTAATGCAGCACCCATCATGGAGAGGCTCATCAAAATTTAGGAAGTACATTCTGGCATTGCGTACTCGTCTTTCCCAGGCACCACATAAAAAGCTTTCCGCTTTGTTTATTTTTACTTCTCCTGCCCAGCTTATTGTGCAGCAGCTATTAATATCATCTTTCTCTTCGTCGTACCCATCATTCTTACAAGCACTCGACCTTACACTAGGTCAGAGACGATTGAGTAAAATCACCTTTTTCCAGTGTTTCGATGATTACTCCACTTCTTCTGCCTCTTCCGCATTTGGGTGAGGGTGTTTCAGGCCCTTTGTGCTGCCACCACACAACCCAATTGTTACAATATCAGTGGATTAGAACAGTACGAGGCGTTAGTTTCCAGGTTACCCTTGTTTTTCGTTCTTGTTAGAATGTACTTACAGGGAAGCAGTAGTAGTAATAGGGGTAGTAGAAGGCAGCTCATGCGGACCGTTTACCTAAGAGGTAGAGAAGAGGATCTCGTCTTTCCGAAAGCGGTTGTTTCCTATGATAAAACCCACTTGAATGCATTGAAATGTGATTAGTCGTTACCCTGACTACGGTAACCTATTCTTTCCCTTTTGGTGTCGTTTTGATCTCGTAAACCAAAGAGACAGAGAACCTGTACAGTGAGTTTTTCGTCTATGACCTTAAAAAGTAGAGATGACTATTAACTCTGTGGTTTTTCTCTGTAAAGTCGTACACTAGGATTAAAAATTTTGCTGTATGTCAGAGGAAAGAGCATGAGATGAAAGCTATTTAAGGGCGCTGGCAGACTACTACTCAGGCCCGTCATGTCTTGAACGTTGACCTCAGTACTGCAACAACGTCTAATGGTACGGATTACAAATTCAGCTGTAATGATGGTATTAGATGAACGCTTTGCATTCTTCTGTAAGAATAGGATATTTCTCCTTCGTTATCTTAGTCCAGAAGTTAAACCAGAAATAAAAGCACGGGACACTCTCACCCTAGAAGCAGAAAGTGGAAACAGAACGATAAGCAGTCTATTCAATAGGATTTTAGTTTTAACAGATTTACTAACACCAGCACGCATTCGTCTGCTCTCACACCATCCACAGTTGCACAAAAAAGACGTAGGAATGGAGGACCAGAGGGAATGGGCAACAGTGACCAGGGTCAAGGTCAATCGTGGTATACCTGCGTTTGCTATGATCTCGTGTGCTTGTGAGAAAAAGCAAACGAGGAAGAAGAACGGAATGCTTGACTAAGGAAGTTTCAATCGTTTTTAGCCGCTGCTGCCGCTGATGCGACCGCTGCTAGTTCTTGAATCAAAAAAGATGAATGTGGAGCGAGGTTGAGGAAGTGGAGTTTAGGTGGGATGAGCGGGAAAGAAGAGGCAGTACTGTAACAAGGCCCATTTTTGTAAATATTGAAGAAGGTACCAGCAGGTGCCTATAGTAGGAGAGGGTTGATAAAATAAGAGCACTCACGCAACAATCGAGGAATGGTGTTGATACGGAGGTTGAATTGGAAGAGAAAATAAATTCATTTAAGAGAAGATGAAGGAAAGGATGGAATCAGGCTGAAATCAGCGGCAATTCCATTCTCGTGGTGATAATGACAGAGGCAGTAGAGATAGAAGTAGCAAGCTTGGTGATTGAGGTAGAATTTGCGATCGCCTCCGCCCTTCTTCTGCTGCCATTGAATAGGTATTGTTGTCTTTGTCGTTCCTGTAGTAGTTGCTGCTACTGCTGCAGCCTTTGGAAATAAGGCGAGGAGATGGGCTGTATTCTCACATTAAGTGTAGTCTAAGACAGGTGGCAGGTGTTCAGTGTGTCGTCAAGATAAGCGCAGCAGATCTCCATTCCTCTATTTACGCTCATCCATGCAAGCGAGTCCCAACAATGGTAGGTGCCAAGCTGCTGAGTGCTTCTTGGAGTCATCACTTCTCCAGAGACAGTGTATGAGCCACCTCTTCTTTTTGTAATGTTATCGACGCCAAAAGAACCTGCATAGTCAGTACTCAACAAGTAATAGTTTCACGCTTTCTCCACTTTGTTGCAGCCTTCAATGCACTTAAGAGTAATACGAAGGTACAGCTGAATAAGGCCGGGAATAACAGTAGATTGAGAAGGAACAGAAGAAAAATACTTACAACTATTAAACATCTCAATGACAGCATCTACAGAGGATCTAAAGAAGGATTTCATCCTAGAGTTGGTCTAGCGTGGGTTCAGAAGGAAAGCAATCCACAATCCGATGGCCGACTTGGTACTCTGGCGATACACCCTGATCCGTGTTATGCTATTGCATCGTGCATCGGTCAGTCAAAGAGAAGGTGGAAATACCTTTCAGTTAACTTAAAACAAAGGGGACAACTTTAAGGAATGCCGATGTAATGTGCCACTTTCAGGCAGTAACAAGGCCTGAAGCAACGGCTCCGTTTTGTGAAGAGGAGATGTGTTAACGATAGCGAAATTGAGCATTGGACTAATGTGGTGGAGCGAAAGCTCAGCAGCAATGGCAATAGATAATTTTCGTGAGGGAATGAACTAACCATCTCTAAAGGAAGTGACATGCCTTTAGCACATCTAGCGTCCAGATCGAATTCACCGTCATGTATTTCCACCAGAAATGCACCTTGCAAACGAAAGAAATAGAATGCGACCTAATTTACCGTCTTTAAAAAAGTCACGTATTTTAAGTATCCTTGAATGAAGGAAGATCATTTACTATACGGGCTTAGCTTGGTGGTTAGACTATTTCGCAGGCAAACTGCTGGTGTTTGGGGGAATAAGAACTACTTTTCCAAGTTCCTTTCCAAACTTACTAAAGCAGTCGGTGATTACTACCCTCCTTCGACGAGATAATTCATAAAATTCAGTCACACAAACTACGTTTAAAAAATAGACTTTAAGTAAGCATCAAATGCGTCTTAATAAACGACTAGTAAACATGAAATCATGTAGTGGATCCCTAAAATGTAACGCAGGCTTGTAGGTGCATTGCCTCTTCTACCATTTACTGCAACTCTAGGATATCTCTTGAATTCCAAAGTAAAAATGTTGCTTTCTTAAAGGACGCCATCGAATTACTCAAAGGACTTATTTGTGTTTGAAGAAGCGCTGGATGCAGATTTTAAATAGTTAAAAAATCATGACCTACACCACGCAAACTTAATTCAAATGAGAAAATTTCCTTTCTTGCAGACCAAATGTCAGCGGTTTTTGAACAAGTAAACACACAGCATCAAGCAATGATTACAAGAGGAAAGCAAAACGCAATGACTAGTCCAGGTAGAGGACAGTTTCCAAAATCTGTCTTTCTTTTATCTATTCGAGGCGCAAAGGCCGCTAGAGTAGACTCAATTTCTGTGAGCCTAAGGAAATCAAGCATTCCTAACTAGTTGGTTACCATGCTGGAGGGAATGCCGCTAAAGTAATTAATGTTGGCAAATCGCACAGGGCCGCAAAACCCCGTTCTTTCGATTGAGGGTAAAATCATTCTTTATGAAAAATTTCAGAGTTGCCTGCTTTTTGGACGTTGAGAGAGAGGTGTTATTAGACGCACTGCTATCATCGTCCTCCTCTCTTAGCTGGACTGTACTACCGTTATTACGGCTCGTTGCAGTTGCTGAATCATGATCTCGACATTAAGAGTTGCCAGATGTACTTTGGACAAGCAATTGTTTATTGGAGTTTACAAGTGGAGAGAAACTAAAAGAATCATTTTTGAAGTAGGATAAGAAACTCCGAACTGCAGTGTTTTGATCTGATGATAAAGCTATTGCTATTTTGTCGACAGGAGACACCGGTTTAAATAACTCAGTTCATTGTCTATTCTCGGCCAGAGAAAGTGTAAGGGTGGTGGAAGGTTCTGTCAACTCCGCTTGTCTGTAAGTATCCTTTTTATGCCTTATTTATAGATAGGCAAAGTGGGAAGTGACCGGGTAACACGTACACCAGCTGTCAATGTGACGGAAATGAGTGAGCAAACGCCAAGCTAACCTATGTAAGAAGATTTTAGTCGCTAGTTTGAATCCATGCGCAAAAAGTCACCCACACGTGTGTGGATACAGTCAGCATCAATCTCTACTCTAACCGCGCTTAACTGTTTGGTTCGTCGCCTTACCAAAATCACACCACAAATACCAAGCGGTTCGAGAGATAGAAGGACGAATGACACGTCTACTTGTCATCGATATGAAGGGATGAGAAGTACCATGAAATGGGTTTGTGGGCAGCCAACCAATCAATCTCCTATTTTACAACCACTTGACTGCGATTGGTAGTTTGTTAAAGTAATTTTGATGGAAGATTTGAATTAATACAGAAGTGGGGTAGAAAATTCTTGCAGAAGGTTTCATGAAACAGGACTGCGCTACTTTCCAGATATCTGCAGATAGATGATGCCAATGCAGAGTTCGCTGCTGCTACAAAAGAGCTGGGAAGAAGAATTACAGTTCAACGTAGAGATTATGGAAGAGAGAGATAAACAAGAGCTCTGTTTAACTTGTTACCACATCGGCTCAGAGCTGCTTTATGTCCGAAAAGCAACTGTTAGTAAAGAATATGAAAGAGAAAATGACTCACTTTCATTCCATCATTACCGTAGCAATTGCAAGATCCATCCTTTCAAAGTCAGAATCTGTCACTTTCAAATGATCCCACCTGGATTTACTCCCAACGACTGGCAAAATAAGCAAGATTTCTTAACTGGCAATTCATTAAAGTGAGCCTCACCGCTGCTAGTTACCCTTCGTTAGGTAGGCGATTAAAGTAGATCACTTGGGAAGAAGTGCTGCAAACGGCAATTTCTCCCTTCTTTACTGCTGCCGGTCGGATCTTGAAGTCAACGAAGACAGCAGAAACGTACATCAACAAACAAGAAATTCGGCGGGAATAATAGCAGCCTGGTAAATAGCCCATCGGCTAGTTATCTGCAAAGGCCGTGATCGAAGTCACAGAAAGTTAAGTGACATTTTTAAATGAGAGGGTTGCTTTCAGTAATCGAGATATGCGTTGAGGAGGAGGTTTAAGACTAGCTGGTCCAAGGTGAGGCGAGGTTGTAGGGGACCAAGGTGGTGGACATTGACTATTTTAAAATGAGAGTTTCTAGAGAGATCTAAATTCACCTCAGGACGAATGGATTCGAAATGGTGAAAAAGGAGTGGCCACTAGCAGGGTGACTGAACATCAAATTCCAACATATTCTACTAAATTTGACTATAGAGACTAAATGTTTTCGGGATTAGAGGAACCTCTTCTCTACATTGTAGTTTAAGAGTTTCCGTGACCCGACTACTATTGCAACTATTCAAATGTATTGTCGGGTGAACAAGAAAAAAAGATGACCTGATAACCTGTACTTTGTACTGCTTTCATTCACTGTCATTCTAGCAGGTGGTTTGTGTGATCGAAAATGAAAAATTTGACTCCTTTCCCGGAGGCGTGACACATTCTCAAGTTCGTAATGTAGCTTAATAAATTTGTACGGATTCAACCACTGCTGAAAGCGTCTTAGAGCTCTTTGAATCTTGAAACAATCACCACAATAACCTTTTTAAAGAAGTACAGACAAGCTGTGGTAAGCGCTTTTATGCACCATTTTGTCACTGAAAGCCAAAAAATTGTCTCTGATTGCCGTCCCTTCTGTCTTAATCATTCCTCAACCCTTCCTCTCATTTCATGTGTTGCCGGGAGACTGTCGCATGCTAACATCTAATAAAGGTGTTAATCAGTTGGAGTTCAAAGAATCCCCATCAGGGTAGTTCAGAGGACGAAGTTAGAAATGAAGATGGAGCCAATCATTGCATCCTTTAACTCACTTTCTGCTTCCATCTCCACAAGTAAGCTTTGCAACTGCATGAAGCAATGCATTTTGCTGAGTTTGATTGCTTTGACTCAGCAGAAGGAGACTAAGAATAGAGCGTTTCTCCTACGGACACATCAGTCACCAGGCACTTTGCCCTAGTCAATACCGCTGACTGTTCCCTAAAAAGGAAAAGTTTATCTTAGCAAACTTCCATTTATAGTGCCTTGGATTGGACTGTGTAGAGAATATCGATAGGGAGATATTGAAAGTGAAAAGTAGGTGGATAACATTGACTTCAGATGTGGTTGATTGGCCTTTAACAGGTGAGAAAAGGCTTTTGCAGTGCATCGCACATCCGCACAAATCTACGAAGGTGCATAATGTGATGTGGATGAAAAGGTGAGCGCTTTAGAAATGCGGGATGGATAGTGGAAAGTGGTAGTGAATAGGACCATCTACCTACCTTGGAGGGACTTATCACTAAAATTAATGGAGAGTGCAATGCGGTAGAGCATACCCTATCTTTTCAAAAAGCCATAAGAAAGGCTTTCCTCATTTCTTTATTCCCCATAGCCTCTGCTCACCTATTAGTGTAGCACCTATTAAATAGTCTTTCTCTTATCGTGCCCACCACCTTCACAAACATTTGGGTTTGCAGTGGGTCAGTGAAGATTGCATTAAGCCACGGCCTTCTAAGGTTTGGGTGATTACTCCACATCTGTGGAATGAGGGTGCTGCATGCCTTTGGGTTGAAGTAGGAGAAGCTGACTGCTCTGCTTGATTGTTCTTGCCTTACGTAGCAGGAAACGTTGCCTGTCTGTTTAAGAACCTTCAAAGTCTATACTTGCACAACTTGCATTTGCAGCAGTAGTAATACCCTTATCAGTTCATTGGCGTAGGAGAAGACGGGAGGAAGACCATATTTTTGGCATTTTTTGGAAGAAAAGGGTAATGAATAGCATGTTTGAGTGACGACAACGTGCTTTGAAACACGCACACTACATTAACTTGCACGACTCTACAAGTGTAATTGAATATGCTGATATACAGCTGAGAGTAGATATTGTTAACGCATGCCTAGGTCACCCATTGAAGGCTTTGATATCTACGCACAAAGGCACTTCAAGTGTGTAGCTTTACCGGATAAAGAGAAGCAAAAGAAAAATGTGACAAAAGCGTTATCTCTTATAGGCGTTGACATTGTAGTGTTCGGAGCGATGCAGGATGTTGGGTCAGTGGAGCAAGAAGAGGAGGAATCACTAGCACCAGAGCCACTGCTAATAGCAGCTCCTGTAACACTAATGGGACCTGAGAGCTGAGCAATCGGTAGGACAGAGGATTTCGATGTAGGGAGAAGTGAAAATGTACCTGAATGTTGGACTTGCAACGGCACCATAAACACTCCTGCTGCCACAGTCTTTTGTGCGTCACCGATTTGTTGAATTATCAGAAAAATCAAGACGTCGTAGGGAATCCGTTGATTATACGATCTGTTGGACGTAGAGAAGTTCTTAAGTCGATTTTTGATGCACAGCAAGAATGACCTCCAGAAATGGGAGTTTTAATCCAAATCACTAAACAAATATTAAAGTTTACCTAGTATTCTATCCCTACTAGTTCTTCTCCATCCTCTAATCATTTAACATGGATTTAGTCCAGCTTTCTTATTTGTAACCATTCCATCCGAAACTATCATTCCGTCCATTTTAGATCTCTGCGCGACAATTTTCTTTCCTAAATCTACCTACATTCTCTCCCTGTCATTCTACTATTCGTTAAACATCTTTTTGGTAAATCAACACGCAAACAGTGAATATCAAGTTGGATGATTCCAGATGAAGCGAGTTACAAGTAATCCTGAATTGGCCTTAACAATACGATTTCATCCACCTTAATAGACATTCAATCGACAAAGTAATTTAACCTGCTTCGAGGTGATAAGTTTAAACTGGATTACTTTGACAGAAAAGACACCAACAGTGAAATGGACATAAGTTGTAGCGATCCAACAGTTTCCTCCGGCTTATAGCAAAGAATGGCTACAGTAACACGAGTTCTTGGAGAGCAAAATGAATGACAAATCGCATTTTGCGAATACGATTTGTCATTCAGTGGAACAAAGTCGATCCTACTTGCTAGGCAAGAGATAGAATAACATTTCAGAAACAGCCATTCAAAGCCAGTGGATGCTTATGCAACCAGTGCAGCGCATTTTGGTTAATAAATTTTTGCATTAAAGTGGAGGTCAATTGGTAATCTTGCCCGTGAAACCTCCTTACCATCTCTCTATGTGCATTTCCTGTGCTCACCCCTCCACCCGCTCATCTAACCCAAAGTCATCCATCCTCCCGCCTTCTTTTAACCTACCTATCTATTTACCAATCCGTGAGCATTTACAACTCACCCACCTTCCATTCTTTTGGTTCAAATCCATCTTTATCTCACCATAGCCGAATCTAACCATCTTTACATTCCATACCTACCTACCCATCCATCTAGACATTCCGCAGTTCTGAACCGTTTTTCCCTTATTCCACTGAAATCCACCCAATAATCTATTGACATGGAAAAAACGGAGACAGCCGCTTTTGATTACTATTTTGTTTTGAAACAATTTTGACCAGTAATTTTGCCCTTAGATCTACCTATTCATCCATCCTTCTACAATGAAATTGAGGGAGGAAGGGAAAATTGCACAAAAATAATATGAAAATACTCAAATATTTGCTTGGGTAGGGCGGGATAGCCAGGGTGGTAAAGGGAATCTAGAACCATTACACAGTATTTCCCAACATCAACTTCTCTCTCAACCCTCCTGTTGTCCAATAATGACTCTGTTAGGGTGTTTCTTAGAGACGGAGTCAAAGTCCTCACGAAGACGACGGAGCGTCCAGCAACTGCCGTACTAGGCATTTGATTACTGTGTTCTTCCAACTCTTCTGCTATTGCGATGTTTTTGGTTTTTTTGGAGACTTTATCCATGGCGTTGACGACTGTAATTGCGGCTCCGAGTAGGGTGTAATACAGGAAGAGAAATGAATAAGCCATCCTTATTATCTCATACGAAGAGAGAAAGATTGATTTTAGTGATTAGGTCCGTGAAAGAGGTGTAATACTTATGCTGTTTTAATGCACCTTTCAGGGAGGAGGCAAGCTGGAAATACGAATCTGGTGACAGGATCGTCCTCTCCCGTGCCTAGTGATTGCAATTCCCCCCTTCGTGGACGTTGTACTTTCCCTCTCGATCTATTCCTCTTTAATAAATATGCCTAAATTGAAATAACCGGGCTCTTCTAAGAACACTACGAACAGGGAAGCGGAGACCGCCGAGTCTCACTCTACAGAAGAATGTATTTAGTGAATGTTGCTATTCTTCTTCAAATTCAGTGAATACCTTAATCGTCAAAATACTTCAGGGTGAGATCTTTTAAGGTGCAAGTAAGGGTTGACCTACTGTTATTTTGAGAGATCTTAGAAATAAGCTAGTGGCAGCAGCAGTAAGGCTGGGAGTTTGTCGAGGGTATACCAGTTGCATTTCTCAAATTATAACAAAAGGAATTTATGCCCAGAATTCTCACTGCAACAACTTTTAAGTAAATTGAGATTAGCCACTCAACGACCTATTTACTAACGCTTTATTTTGACTACTTTTCGGAGAATGAAATGAACAACGACGAATTGATAGAAATTTACTTCTTGTTTTAGTCCAAAACCAATTTTTTTAACTATCCAGAAGTGACTCTAAGTAAAATTGTATACTGATTTTCGGAAATCTGTTTCGTACAAAACCATGCTATCTTTTTAACACTAGCTTCTTTGCTAAAGAAAAGCCACAGGAGAATTGGAAAATTCCCATCCAAATATATTTCGAGGAAGGATCTCATAACTTCATTTTAGAAGTCCCCTTGTTAACAACTTAGACATTGTTTTTTAATAGCAAAGGCTAAAAAGTGGACTTGATTTGGTTGGACATACCTTCCTGTGTTGTTTTTTTGGTGTCAAAACGGTAGTAAAATGATCGGCTCAATGGATTCGACATCGCAACGTTAACACGGAAAAACTT